TATATACGCACATATACAAGACTCACAGGAAAAGTGAAAGTGGAATTTGGAAGTGGAATGTAAATATACCTACATACCTAGATATAAACAAAAATAATTCAATTGAGCAGCTTCGCTTGTGTGCGCTCTCTGAGACGGAGACAAAAGCGCGCGCGGTGATTGGCTGGAGCGAGCGCAGACTACCGCACGCGAATGTTCCATTCATTTGCAAATGAGCTACTATAAAGCTCTCGCTCTAGCCTCTCATCGATGAGCTGGCAGTCCTGTTTGGTTTGTTCACAATTGTATATTTACTGTATATTTACTCTGCTTTATTTACGGACCGAACGGTTCTGGACGGCGGATCACTGACCAAGCAACCTAGTCCGGAATGTCCCCCGCGGCTAGACTCAGAAATGGTTTCGATGTGGAGGAGGAAGCATTTTATGTCGCTAAGGGTGACAGAAAGGTAAAACCATTTTGCGTTGTCTATGAATGCCAAAAAGGAAAAGGAAGTCTGTGGTATGCTTAAACACCATATATATATATAATTTTCTGCTTCAATAGACTCGAAAACCAATAGTGGAGAAAAAGAGGCGAGCGCGCATTAATGAAAGCCTGCAGGATCTCAGGAGGACACTACTTTCAGATAACGATGTAAGTTGATCGCCTCTTTACTGCATGCACCATCGACTCTTAGTCAGTTGATAGGTAGCCTAAATAGACGGACCTCACTTTGTAAATATAAACAGATATTAAAGATGTTTAGACATGTTTATCTTCTTTTATCAGTTGCAGACAAGAATGGAGAATGCAGAGGTGCTTGAACTAACAGTAAAACGAGTTGAGAACATCCTACAGAACCGTTCTAAGGGTAAGATGACCTCAGTTGCACTGCACATTTAGGCAATTAGTTTCCATGAAAATTATTTGAAGCTCTTGTGTGTCTGGACTTCCAGAAGCTGAAGCTGTGAATCAAGAGGCCAGTGAGAGATTCGCAGCAGGTTATATCCAGTGCATGCATGAGGTACATAACTTTGTGTCCACATGCCCGGGCATCGACGCCACAGTGGCTGCAGAGCTGCTTAACCACCTGCTAGAGTGCATGCCATTAAATGAAGATCACCTTCAGGAGATGATCATAGAGCTCATATCAGAGCCTTCCTCCTCCGGTCGATCATGGCCAGCTGGAGAGGTGCTAAGTCCAGGAGGCCGCAGTGTGTCCGACCTATTCTCAGCACTGTCCCCATCCCCATCCAATCCTCCTAGTGAGGACCTCTGCTCTGACCTAGAGGAGACAGAGACCGAAGCAAGTCCTGCATCAGCTGAGGACAGCCTGAACTCCTCCATCATCACACACTCTAAGTTTATGTGGCGGCCATGGTAGAAGTTTCTTCAAAGACCAGGCATCTTTATTCATAATTCACTTAATCCTGTATTGGAGCATGATGGAATTCTTTTCTCATCTGATTTTCTTGAGAAAATGGCTGGAGCTTTAGGATTTTATAAGCACAGGCTGATATAGTGGGATAAGACATCATCTTACAGAAAAGTATGGAACTTTTTTTCACAGTGACTTGAACATACCCCTGGATATTTTTTCTTCTGAAACATGATGCCTCGAAGCATAAAAGTTTATTTAGAAATTAATTTCAGATTGAACTGGCTTAAAAAGTAAACTGTAATGGTGTATACTAGAGATTGAGAAATTGTTTTGTTTTAGTGGGCTGAAAGATTTGTTTTGTGTCTTTAGAGTTAAAAATATAGAAAGTCTCACTGAGAGACTGTCACATAGATAAAGTCCATGGCCCTGTTTAGTAGTCATTAAAAAGTATATTTTTATTGTTTATATACTTTAGAGTGTAACATAATTTAGTGTCAGTTCATGGTTTATAATTCATAGTAGTGCAGTATTGCAGTGCCCAGTTCAATATGTATAATGCTTTTTTTTTGTTTGTTTGTTTGTTAATCTGTAAGTTTATTTAATTTGGACATTAAAAGCTTTCATGTCTATTTGTCAGTGAGATAGGTGTGGACACACACGACACAGTAATTAACATACATTTGAAAATCTAAAATTGTAATGAAAAGTTTGTATGTCTGAAGATTGTCTGAAGAAACAGAATCATTTATGGTAATATTCAGCAGTTAGTGACATAAAATATCAAAGCCGAGGATGCTGAAGGAAGGAAAGCGTATATATACATTGTATACGTTGTGGTTTGTGGTTACATATTAAATCATTACAGCTATATGGTTCATAGTATAAATGAATAATGTGTGTATATTAACTTTTTGTTTTTTTTCCCGATAGATTTCATATGTATACCAGTGACTTAAAGTGTCATCAAATATTTGATGCGGTCAGGTAAGATCAAATGTTATCCAGAGATTCTAATTCAAAGAAACTAATGGAAGACCGGAACACTTTAATAATCCTTGCAGTTTAGAAAATGCATAATACTGAGGAGAGGTTTTAGTCTGCTGTGTTTTATATTTAGTTATTTACTGAATTTATTCTAATTTGTTCCACTTTAATTGGTTTAAAACACAAATAAAGCTTATTCAACATTTGCATTCATCAGATGCATTAATAGAGGTTTGAATAGATAAAGAATAAATTGAGTAGGGTGAGGGGTCAGCTGTGTGCTCGTTGAGAGAACAGATGGTGATGAAAACAGATCCCTTGTGACCAAGATGTTTTACGCCTTAACCCAGTGGTTCCCAACCCTGGTCCTAGAGGCACCCCAACACTGCACATTTTGCATGTCTCCTTTCTCTGACACACCAATTTCAGGTCTTGGAGTCTCTACTAATGAGCTGATGATCTGAATCAGGTGTGTTTGATTAAGGAGACATGCAAAACATGCAGTGTTGGGGTGCCTCCAGGACCAGGGTTGGGAACCACTGCCTTAACCAACTGGTTTATTTTTGGAAAAGAAACACACAAAAAAAACTTAAGAATAAATAAATAATAATAAATTTAAAAAGCGTCTCTCTGTGCCCTTTTTAAGCCCCAAAGTGTTACTAATAACCAGTACTGTAATTCTGAAAACTGAAATGCATATACCTGAGACCTAAACAAAGTGTCAGCATGCTTTAAATAGATTAATCCTACTTTTATGAAAATTATAAAGCAGTCTTGAATCATACATTAACAATCTGCCATAATCATTCTCAAATACCTGTATATATGGGTCAATGACAAATACAGCTACTCAAAAGGTTTTTTTTTTTTTTTTTTGAAAATCTTTGAATGAAATGCATATTTGAGCTGGAATTTTTTTTTTATAAGTTTCATTTATTAAATAACATTACAAAGTGTTTAGATTGATTTTTTTTTACTGTTTTTAACTTCACAACCCAAAAAATGTCAGGTGATACAACCAAATATTGTAAATATATATTTATATTCCTTTATATAACCCAAGTGGTTGTGCCACCATGACATTTGAGAATACCAATTGCTGGACAAAAGTTTTCTCAACAGCTTTATTAAATCTATGGTATTTGTGAAAAAAGTTTTAAACAAAATCATGCAACATTATTTTATTTAGCATTTACTACAACTAAAGCTCAATTTTGAATAGTTTTCTTACATTGTTCATAATATGTGCAGATGGTTGTGCCACCTGACGTTTTGGAGGTTTGAGATACCAAAACATAAAATAATATTTATAATTTCAGTGTACTCAAAATGTATTCAAACTAAAAAGGTTTTATCGAATAAAGGGATACTTGTCATTTCAAATGATTTTAAAAGGCAATAATGCACGTAGACACCAAAATACGCACGTCTTGTCATTGACCATATTCAAATCATAAAAAAATTGTCAGTTCATTAATTTAATCAACTATGTATGCCAACATTTCCCCTTAATCTTGCATGTTTAAAACAAGTTACTGATTTTTATTTTAGGTCATGAAATTTTAGTTGATGCTACAACAATATAACAAGATCAGTGGATGTTACTGGCTTGTATCATGATGTTTATCAGACAATTAAAACTGCTGACAGACAAGTGTAGATATCATCTTTTTATTATTAAAAGGTAGGAATAAAGTGACATGTTTATCTCACTACATTTATGAAAAAAGAAAGATGAAAAATACAGCCACAAACCAAATGACATGCTTATAAAGACTATCAAACAAATTTGAATTAACTAAATGTTACGCAGTCGCCATAACCCTATGGCTCTTTTTCAGCATGTCATTCAGTCTTTTGCTTCAGTACTTCACAAATCAGAAACAGATGTAGAGCCAGTTCCAATTTTTCTGCTTCAACACTACTGGCCATTAAGTACACTCGGTAGTACACTGAATTTCAGATAATAGAAAAAGAGTATTTCAGGTATAGGAACAGCTTCAGACCTTTTACAGAATGCTACACATAAAGCTAGTTTCCTCCACTCAGAGAACTAGTGCCCTGGCATCTTTGTTGAACGACTGCATTGTGACTAGAACATTTGTGACCCTGGAGCACAAAACCAGTCATAAGTAGCATGGGTATATTTGTAGCAATAGCCAACAATACATTGTATGGGTCAAAATTATCCATTTTTCTTTTATGCCAAAAATCATTAGGATATTAAGTAAAGATCATGTTCCATGAAGATATTTTGTAAATGTCCTACTGTAAATATCAAAACTTTATTTTTGATTTGTAATATGCATTGCTAAGGACTTCATTTGGACAAGGTGATTTTCTCAATATTTTGATTTTTTTGCACCCTCAGATTCCAGATTTTCAAATAGTTGTATCTCAGCCAAATATTTTCCTATCCTAACATCACCTGAAAGCTGAATAAATAAGCTTTCCATTGATGTATAAATCTCAATTTCAAAAAATTGAGCCTTGTGGCTGGTTTTGTGGTCCAGGGTCACATCTGTATATCCAAAAGAAGACATGAAAGAAAGGGTAAAAGAAAGAAAGAAAGATGATTAAGTCCATGTTCAATTTTTTATGACTTACAAAAGACATCTACAAAAATATTAGTTTCCATGATTGCACATCCCTGAAGACATGTAACAAATACTTCTTGTCCTCTGACAAAATGACACAAGGGTCCTGTAAGACTGGTCACAGCAGCTTTGGCAGCAGCTTATTTGGCTGGAATGGTCCCCAAATATACAGTATGTTTCATTTCCTGGTTTTGATTTTTAGCAAAATGCATTTGTATTGGCCCATATACTGTTGTGTTCACAATAGGACTTGTGTTTATAATGAAAAACTTACTTTTTTCATTTATTTATGCTGCACTACACCTCATTCCACTGTTAGCTGGTACAAACAGTCTGGCGATTTCTGCACAGAGCATCAATCCACTGAAGAAAACTCTGCTGTAGCAACATATTCAAACAGTACAAGTGAACTGGAAAAACTATAAAGAGACAGAACCACTGAGCAGGTTAGGTCCATGTGACAGCGGTTCCATCCAATCGGAGTTTGCACATTTGAACAGCATCTTTGGGTTAATCAGTCAGCTTATCTGGCATACTTTTGTCTACACACACACACACACACACACACACACACAAATAAATAAACACATTCATAATCTTTTAAAATAACAAAGGATATCAGAGTAGATATCCCAAGACAATTTTACTTTGTGTGTACAGGTGGGAACCTGAAAGGTCCTGTTGCCCTCTGCTGGCAGAGATTAGTGGTACATTTTCAGATTATACACTAGGTTGCTCCTTCTCTTCCTGTGAATGAGACCCATTCATTGGCATCTTGTACCACTTCTCCTCCCAAAATGCCAACCTCCATATCGGGTAGGTCTTCTAGCAGGGCAGAGACGTCATTCTCGCAGTACATACACTCCTATACAAACACATGCAAGAGTCTTTCAGCTGTACTCTTACCATTCAGAAAACACAAGATACTGTAAGCATTGAAATGAAAACTCAAAAGTGACTAATTTATGGTTCTCTTCATACGCAGGAACTCTGTTAACGGTCACTCATTTGGACTGATAGCACTCTGCATGAGGAAATCTACAGCTTCAGATTTCCCTGGGAGCATACCTATGTTCCCAGGGTCCTATGTTTCCCAGATTTATATAACATATAGAGGAACACATGAAAAGGGGTCATATGTGACCCTGGACCACAAAACCAGTCATAAGGGTCAATAATAAAAAGCTGAATAAATAAGCTTTCCATTGATGTATGGTTTGTTAGGATAGGACAATATTTGGCCGAGATACAACTATTTGTAGGGTGCAAAAAATCAAAATACTGAGAAAATTGCCTTTAAAGTTGGCCAAATGAAGTTCTTAGCAATGCATATTACTAATCAAAAATTAAGTTTTGATATATTTATGGTAGGAAATTTATAAAATATCTTCATGGAACATGATCTTCACTTAATATCCTAATGATTTTTGGCATAAAAGAAAAATCGATCATTTTGACCCATAAAATGTTTCTTTGGCTATTGCTAAAAATATACCCAAGCGAATTAAGACTGGTTTTGTGGTCCAGGGTCACATATGTTCCCGGGTCCTACAGTATGTTCCCTAGATAGACATATCATAAATGATTAAAATATATAGATTGTGAATAAAAAAAAGTCTCCACAATCTGCCTTATTTACCAGATAGATCCTTAATATTGTGCAAGAGTGCATATTCTATTGCAGTTGTATGGCTGTTTTTTGATTACTATTGCGCTTGAACTGTCTAGAACACACAAGGTTCACATTTGTCTTATTGTTTGTAATTTGCATCTTTGTTCTAATTTTTAATAACAAAAATACAATAAAGCGAAATAATATTTTGATATATCGCCCACTAGGTGTGGGCAATCTGTTGATTTTGTATTGTGCTTGAAGACTTCAAGCAAATTGTTGACTCATCTGAACGTCTTACAGAGGTGTTTATTTAATCTGTATCTTTGTCCTACTGTATTTATTTCTTTTATTGCTTGTCATTTGTTTCTTTGTTCTAACTGTTTATTTTACTTTACTAAGCTTAAAAACATTATTTATATTAGTTAGGCTGGTAGGGTTTACTAGTTTATACTGCTCATCAACTTGTAACTTGTCTTAAAAACAAACCCATTTTTTTTCCCATATCCTCCACCTCTACTTTGGCCTGAATGGTCTGTCATCCTTGTTTTCTTTCCTCGTTTTGTGTAAACAGGGAAATTAGTTCGGTTCAGTAATAAGATCCTGTCTGAAAAGATTTGTGATATTTTTTTTTTCCTTTATCGCCCACCCCTAGAGTCACATACCATGACATTGATGGCATTGGGTAACGCTCCTCTCCTCATCCAGGGGTGTTGATCAATCAGTTCTCGACGCTGTTCTGAAGAGAAACGGGGCTGGTTCTTCTGCATGCGCCTTAAACACTCCCGATCTTCCCCCAGAACCTTTTCCATATCCCTGTCCCAAAACACCAACGCTATTAAAAAACAATAAGCTCTGTTGTAAAAGTTTAAAGTCCAAATGAAAACAAAATCCACATTTACTTTGCACACTGCTAGTCTTGGGGTGAAATCGATACACTTTAATCAAAATCTAACAATTTTGGCATTCGTTCTCTGATGACATCAGTTTGATGGCTTGGGTAGAGTATCCTTAACCATTCCCTTCAAACCATTAGTTTGCTGTGAGAAAGATGGCAGCGATGTGCACTAAAAAAAACCCCTGCCCTCTATTCAATATTCCGTTTCAGTTGGAAGTACGTCAATACCGAAGAAAAGTGAGAGCAACGTCTGGTTCAAATAGACTTTAAGCACTCACAATGCAGAGTTTTAAAAGCTCTTCTGTTGTGTTAATTTACATAGGAATGATCATTTACTCACTGATTGATCAGCTCAGTTACAATAAGCTCAGTGAAGTCCATTCAATTAAAACCTGAATATGTGAATAAAAGTCTATATTAAATCGGTTCATATCATAAATATATTATCTCCATACTCCATTCAGAAGACTTGGATTAAACCACTTGATTCATATAGATTTCTTTCACAATCCATTTATGAACTTTTCAAAGTTTGAATGTTTTGGTCGAATGGAGAGACAGAAATCTCTCAGGATTCATAAAAAATATATTCATTTGTGTTTCATGGATGAACAAAAGTCTTATGGGTTTGGAATGACTTGAGGGTGAGTAAATGATGACAGAATTTTCATTTTTGGGTGAACTTTACCTTTAAACACAAAATTCCCTCTTCTCACAATACAGACAGAATTGACTCTCACCTTGATGGCACTTGATAGGTCATCATGACACAGTCATCATCACTGGCTGTAAATCTCCAAACAGGCTCTTGAAGAACATACTTAAAATTCTCCTCCTGTTCCTTTATGTCTTCGCTCTTGTGATTGTTCTCTGAGGAGTCCACACTGCCAAAATACTTGCTTGTGTTGCTTCCTGCTCAGGAAGAGAAAATGCAAAACATGTTTAGTTTTCTGAGCTGATGCTATTATATATTACGATATATAATAACTCTGACTGGTATGACTAATCTATAATAAAGTACTGGACATCATGACACTGAAGCCACTGAGTCGCCATATTTCTATTTCTACAGTAGTATCTAATTTTTAAAAAAATCATCCGATTCAAAATCTAATGCCTGCCAGTCACTGACGCCCTCTGGTGGTCAGTCATCTAGATTGACTTCACACAGGTGGTTAATTATTATAAATAACCAACTGCACATTATTAAATAGAAAAGTGTTATGCGACTGTAACATGCTCAACAATTTTGGAACTACCCATACTTAATGGTGAATTTGTTATTAGCATAAAGAAAAGAGTTCTACATACAAGTACTTTATGGATTCAAATGTCTCGAGAGGTAACAACAGAAAAATAGTGGTGTTAAGTATTTTTTAGTATTAATGTGTTTATGTTAATGTGAAGCATTAACTTGCAGTGACCTGTTCCACTATTAGAAGTGTTGCAGTCATTGGAAGTGGAGCCAGTAGATGCTGACATGGCAGCGCCCATGCCAGAATGAGAGTCTTCCTGCAACAACATGTCCAACACACTGCTGGATGAGGAGTGGTCACCACAGTGGCCACCGTTACCCGAACAACATGCCTGGAAGAGTAGCCAGAGAAAATCAGGCGAAAGATGGAATTCATCAAGTTCATGATTTGCAAGGTGCGTGTGTTCAAAATTGTTCATATGTTTGTAGCCCTTTACCTGCTGTAAGTCATCCATCGCAGAAGAAGTGCTATTGATGGATGTGCTGTTTTTGTCCTGTACTAAACTGCAATTACCCTGGGTGCTGGACTGGGGTGCAGCATTCCTGCTGGGGTATGAGATTCCTGCTTTTCCTCCATCTGAAGCAAGTCCAGCTGCAATGGAGAACTACAGCGAGACTCAAATAGTGGGGGGGATTGAGGGGGTGGCAAAGGAGAAGGACACTCTGTGGACACAATGGCAGAGTGTTTTGGGTCAGATGTCATTCCATACTGAAAATCTGTCTGGGGTGTAAATGCTGGCTGCTGGGAAGTGAAGGAGGTATGGGTCTGAAAGCACTGGTGAGTTCTGCAGCCTTGAGGGTTTTGAAGGTGCTGCGTGGTGCTGTAGGCTTGTTGTGGCTGAAATGCTTGTTGGTCGGTGTAGACTTGTTGAGGCTGCAAGGGTTGCTGGGTATTGTAGGCTTGCTGGGGCTGAAAGGGCTGCTGGCCATTGTAGGTCTGCTGGGTCTGAAAGAGTGCACTGTAGGCTTGCGGAGCGTCAGCATAGAATGGAGAGCGAGGTGCTGTGCCTATCTGTGGCAACATAAAACCGGGCAAAACAAACGCTACAACTGGTGTGACTAATGGCGTAGGATATGCAGCCATAGAGGGTGTGGCCTGAGTGTTCTGGGACTCTGCTACTCCTGTTGGGGGCTTGGGGTGGGGCAACAGAGGGAACTACAGGGTAGAGAGGATATCCTGGAACCACAGTTGGAAATGGAACTGAAACCCCAGACTGCGATGTCTCGGAGGGGGACCAAGATGTCTGGTTTAAACCCTGCAGGGGTGGGAGAGGTCTGTGCTGAGACGCAGCATTATCTGATGAATCAGGATGTTTTGTGCGTGTTTTCTTCGACTTTTTGGTGCGCCAGCTTTCTTGGTGGTGGCCTCTGTAACAGGGACACCTGCTCCTGCTTTGGATCCACAAGCTCCTGTAGATGCCAAAGGGGCAGAGAAAGAGTAAGGGACAGAGAGAGAGAGAGAGAGAGAGAGAGAGAGAGAGAGAGAGAGAGAGAGAGTAGAAAATGAGTGTAATATGAAGAGAATTCCATGGACTATTTTAAAAAATATGAAAAAGGCATATTTGAGAGTGTAAGGTGCCACCACTTGTCAGTTTAGGATACAGAAATGTGCTCCCTTATTATGTCATTACATAATCAATGTGTAGATGACTGGAAAGGTGGAGGGGATCATATGGGACTAGGATTGGGGAACTGGAGCTTATTTATTTAATTTTTTTAATGATGCTAGGTTTTTTGAATGTCTGCAGAAAAATCTAAAAAATTTCTTTTGCTCTGGAATGGCATTCCTTCTCTAATGACATCAGTTTTGATGGCTTGGGCAGAGAATCCTTAAAGGGTTAGTTCACCCAAAAATGAAAATTCTGTCATTAATTACTCACTATGAGGGCTCTCTGACCCTCCCATAGACAGCAAGGTAACTACCACGTTCAAGGTCCAGAAAAGTACCAAAATGATCGACAAACAGTCGTGAACACGCGTCCACAAGTGACGCAGTAGAGACGAAAATGTGGAATAAAGTCTTTATTTTTTTCTTTGCGCAAAAAAATTATTCTCGTAGCTTCGTAACTTTACAGTTGAACCACTGATGTCACACGGACTACTTTGTCGATCATCTAGGTACTTTTCTGGACCTTGAACGTGGTAGTTACCTTGCTGTCTATGGGAGGGTTAGAGCCCTCAGATTTCATCAAAAATATATATTATATGTGACCCTGGACCACAAAACAAGTCATAAGGGTCAATTTTCGATAATAATCTAAAAGCTGAATAAATAAGCTTTCCATTGATGTAT